CCCCCCCCCCCCGCCCCCTCAGCTCATTGTTGGAACATTGATCACATACAAGTCTTTGTTGAATGCCCTGTCTCTCGCCATTTTCAAAGAGAGATTAAATCTCGTGTAGTATCTTTAGTGGGAGAAGACGTTTTAAACAAATTTAAATCCCCTTTTCATTCTTTTACAGCATATTTTTATCTAAATTAGAAGATGTAGGAAAAATTAAAATCTTTTTCAGTGTGGATATGGTAACACATGACTGGTTAAAGTAATACAAGGCTGATAGCAGTACTTTTAGGGGAACTCTTCTTGTTCTCCTTAATATTCTAAATACATAAGCACGTGCCGCTTCACTGGCTTGGCCTTTATATTTTTGTTGATCAAATAAATCCAGGAAGAGAATCCTCCCAATTTGCTTTCTTTTTTAAAATGTTTTGTTCAAACTTTATATATTTTAATTGAACAAATTCTGTTGTTTTAAGAGACTCAGAGCTTCCTTTGAAATGTTCTGCTTCAGGTAACTTACTTGTTTGGTTTGAGCCAACATGCCTTTATTTTTAAATTTATTTTATTTTATTTTTTGAGACAGAGTCTCACTTTGTCGCCCTCTGTAGAGTGCAGTTAGTGTCACAGCTCACAGTAACTTCAAACTCTTGGGCTCAAGTGATTCTTTTGCCTTAGCCTCCCAAATAGGACTATAGGTGCCCTCCACAATGCCTGGCTATTTTTTCGAGATGGGGGTCTCACTTTGGCTCAGGCTGGTCTTGAACCTGTGAGCTCAGGCATTGTCGAAGTACTAGCATTACAGGCCATGAGGCACAGCACCTGGCCTCCCATATGTCTGTAAATGACAAATTTTATGATGGAATAAGTCAAAAGTCTTAGAGTAAACTACTTTTCATGATCTGAATTGTTTGTTAGAGTATAAAGCTGATCAGGAATTCTTATTCTGGGATCCTTGGATGCCTTTTCTGACTCTACAAACCTAAAATGTTATGTTGAATTAGTGTGCTTGTGTGCGTGTACACGTGTGCATGTGTATGCATGTGTGTTCCTCCAGGGAGTGTGCTCACATTATGTCACGATACTGAGTTAGTGTAGTGTAAAGTGTTAGGAATTCTCACAAGCCTCCTGTGGGGCTCTATGTCTTTAGTCCCAGCTACTTGGGAGGCGGAGGTGGGATGATGCCTGAATCCCAGGAACTCCTGACCCGCCTGGGATCTAGACATCATGTCTCAATTAAAAAAAAAAATCTTATATAGCATGTAAGCGCTAATACCATGACATTTAGTTTTTCAGGCATAACATATATAGTGTGGGCACTTACTAAAGCTCACAGCTGGTGATCCACTGGCCGGCGAGGATACTCCAATAGGAAAGGCCAACTCACACAGTAGTGCAATTTGCCTTCCCTGCTGACTATGATTATGTCTCCTGGGTCTTGCAATTCCTGTCATCCTCAGTCGCAGGTGCCCATTTCGAGGCTGTGGCAACTGTGGCTGATGGTTCTGGTGACCTGACTATGTTGAGGCCAATCTAAACCCAGGTGCTCTCCTTTGTGACTGTGTCTGCTTTTAATGTCCCTGTGGTGCTTGCGGTCATCGTTCATGTCCGTTGTTTGTGGCGGAATGGGTCTTTTGGACGCGTTCCAGCCTCTCCTGGAGTGTGTCCAGTGAGAGCTGGCTTGTTGGGATTGCCTACTGGACCAGGTGGCCAGCGAGGGCCCTAGGGTACCAGCAGTGGGGGTCCAGCTGTTCTGGACATTCAGCGCTCATTTTCCCTTTCCTTTGGGTTTTGAAGTTGAGTTTCCGAGGAGGATTGATAGGGCTGGGGTACAGCCCTGTGCAGATGAAGGCATCTGTAAGGAAACTCCGATTCTC